AAAAAAAGGCTTCCATCCAAACAAATACAGGTTACCAGGATCAGCCTCTGTTATTTTATACAAAATATAACAATCCTACTTAGGTCTGTGTGGATCAACCTCCATTAACACTGCTTAAACTTGTTATAAAGCATCTTTTATGCACTGAGCGCCGGTTGCTTCAGCAACTGCCCAATTACACAGTAGCTCTACTTTTAAAGCAATATCACCAGTGAAGATACCTTGCAAATTCGGTAATTTAGATGAACACCATCGGTCTGAATTCAATTCATATTCCAATGTAATAAAATATATAATATCAGTACCTAAAAGAAATGTAGTTAAGTCGAAACTCAAATTATATAACTATTTGTAGATAAACGTTACTGGTTTTTATTAATAGCAGAGTTTAGTCTTACATTCGTCGTTTCCCTTACTAATGCGAATTATAATAACTTTCTATTTCTAACAGGTAACAGTTTAAATGAAGAATGTCAACAGAAATTAGCGTGTTAGCATTAGCATTCATAATAAGGGGCAGGGTTAGCATTGTTAGCATCATTAGCTCCCCCAGAATTAAACTACAGAGTGAGCAAATAAAAGAGATGAAAGTATAGAACGCAACAAAGTAGAGCTTAAACACTGTTTCAATAAATAAAGGCATAGTTTACCAGTCCATTTTGGAAAACCTGCCAGTTCCCGCTTCACGAGGTTTGGCAGGGATACTTCTTCTCTTTCAGAAACTCCGCAGATTAAAACCCTTCACGACTTCTACCGCCCCCTGCCGTATGCTGTTATATCGCATCCTAGAGAAGTTTGGCAGATATATTTTTCATTTTTCTCATTTCAAAATGTCTCTGTGGGATACAGAAAATTCATAAGATAGAAATCCATTTGGTAGCAAATAATCTTAACTTTTATAAATAATTACTCTTTAACTCCTCAACAGCTAACAGGCAAAAATATGACAAACAGATATTCATATTTTTCGTGATATGATAATTTTTAATAAACTAAATTTTATTTACATTTTTTAGTTTGAGGTTGGCATTTTTACGAGAACAAACGCGTAAATTTACGAGTAAAAACACACAAATTTACGACATTAAAACGTAGAAATATAAGAGAAAAAGTAGCAAATTATTAAGAAAAAACATTTTATAAGAAGCACATTTGCAAGATTTAAACAAATAGATTTGCGGAACAAAGCGAAATTATAATACACATAAAGTATGCTGCATAAAGCACACGCTAATGCATCATTATTTGAAGGCGATGGAATTATTATCCTTATGGAAGTTTTTAAAGTAAACGTGAATCTCGTAAAGTTTGCATGTTTTTTCTTGTAAGTTTTCTACTTTTCTGAGGCAAATTTTTCTTCTGAATTTGCATGTTTATAATCTTGTAAATAAATTTTTTTTCTTGCAAATTTGCCAGTTTATTTCCGTACATTTGCCTTTTGTTTCCTTCTAAATTTGAATGTTTATAATATCGTAAATCTGATTTTTTTTATTGTAAATTTACAAGTTTACTGTCGTAAATTTTCTACTTTTAAGATGCGATTTTTTTCTTCTGAATTTGCATCTTTATAATCTTGTAAATAAATTTTTTTTCTTGCAAATTTGCCAGTTTATTTCCGTACATTTGCCTTTTGTTTCCTTCTAAATTTGAATGTTTATAATATCGTAAATCTGATTTTTTTTATTGTAAATTTACAAGTTTACTGTCGTAAATTTTCTACTTTTAAGATGCGATTTTTTTCTTCTGAATTTGCATGTTTATAATCTTGTAAATTAATTTTTTTTCTTGTAAATTTGCCAATTTATTTCGGTACATTTGCTGCTGGTTTCCTTCTAAATTTGCATGTTTATAATCTTGTAAATTAATTTTTTTTCTTGTAAATTTGCCAATTTATTTCGGTACATTTGCTGCT